AATATTTTGATCAGTTGGAACCACGGAGGATTAGTAGTAAACACTTTAGTGGAAACTAATTTGTTAATAAATTAACAAATTGGACTTGAAAATGTTCAGATTAATTTTTATACTTTAATTTCTGTACGTTATACATTATGATAAAATATTATAGTTTATTTACTGGAATGCTTTCTGCTATGGAGGGGTCCCAATATTTAGAGATTATTTATATAGTTAAAGATATTTAAGCAGTTTTGTCTCAGCTTTTTGCTTCTAACTACTCTACTTATCAATTTGTAAATTTTATTGAAAGATGACTGATTTTTTTACTTTTCAGTCTAAGTTGTGTACTTTTATAAAACATAAATGCTTCCAGTATTTCCATATTTAAAAATATACTTGTAATTATCTTAAATGTCTAAACTTCAGCTTCTAAATGTACCAGTTGAGTTAAACCCAGTTGCTGAAGCTGCTCCAACTTCTCCTCTCCTTCAGGACCATCACCATGGTGACGGCAAAGCGTCTGGCTGACATCGGTTACCGCGCTTTTTCTGCCTCAATGATGCTGCTGACGGCATACGGAGGCTACCTGTGTGCGATGCGAGGAATCCGGTACTGGGAGAAGCAGAAACAGCTGCAACTGGCTGCAAAGAACCAGGACCCTGAAATCATGAAAGACTGATGTCGCCTGGACTGGACTGTTACTCCTACTGGACGTTTCCCATTCCTCTAAGCTGTCCGAGTGGTGAAGAGAAGGATTCCTCCCCGAATGTTTATCTGTTCCCACACAGATTTAGTTTTTCTTTTGTTGTATAAAACTTAACCAAACAATGGTAGAGAATATATTTTGCCTTTGTCACATGTGCAGAGCATAATTTCAAGTTTGTATTGCATAAAAATGCCTTAAATAAAAGTGTGACAATTTCTCACAGTTCTGCATTAAAAGAGACACCATCAAACAGAATATATTTGAACATACATTTTTACAAGCACTCAAGTAATCTTTTTCATGGTTCACATATACCTGGAGTTACCGGCTGTGAAAATCTCATACACGATTGGTCTTGGAAGAAGTAGTAAAAACAGTAAAATAGGTTACAAAGTAGCCAGACATTATTGAAAAGTAAGTCCACATCATTTTGCATAACTGCCAACTTCCTGTTACTCATTCAGCAGATTTTCTGTATTTCAGAGCTGATAAAAGCCCAGCTGTAACATGTTCATCTTTATTTGAGTGATACCTGCTGTGGAATGGTGGCACTGTGCAAACTGTTGTAAATAAACCCTTCAGGATAAAAATAACTAAGTTCCTCTGACCAATAAAACTGGGAGAGAACATTCAAACTAACCAATCTCTGCAGTCAAACTCATTAATCCCACCGCCTGGAAAAATAAGGCTACGCAAATCACATGATTCGATTTCCGCACAACGCTGTCAGTGTCTGCACATCCATCCACCGATTCACAAATCTGTGTGCTGTCAGTGTTAATATAAAGTGGGAGAGAGCCAAGCAGGTCAGGCAGACGTAGCTCTTTGGAGGCTGCAGGGGGCGCTGTCGGCTCCTCGTCACCAGCTACTGTGGTTCTGAGTCCGGGCTCTGGCTGCCGCACAATGGCCGTTGGTGCCGTTTTCTCCCTTTAGAGTGTGAGTGGAGGCCTTCCGGCCTTCAGTTGGGCCGTCAGGTTCTTCTTCAGAGCTGCTCTCAATGTCGCTACGGACATCGTTACACACCTTTGGGACAGAAGGCAGAATCCAGTATTAAAACTAATATGAAAAAATAGGCTAAGTATTACTACAATGTAAGTTTTCCTGCTGGTAGCCGTTTGTCTGACTTATTGTTTTATTTGCTGCATTAAGTTTTAAATAAATGTATGAAGTTCCCAAAAAATATATAATTTATATATAAAAAAAAGGACAATTTATAATTTAGAAATATATTTATTGATGTGCCCCCTAAAAAGACTTATTGGTTGAACTGCTCACAACACCCTTAATTGCCACAAGGGGGTGTTGTTGGACAATTTCAACAACACACTCCTGACTAATTGGAAACAGTTGGACATACCTGACGTTCATGACACCAAAACCACATTACTCATCATTTTACAACTCTCCTCCCACTGCAAGCGACACTACAGCCACACTTAATCTTGTTGGAACAAACAGGACAGATGAGATTAAGATCTGACAGAAAGTGCAGGGAGAGTGGATGGAAACTTACAGCCAAACACAGAGAGATGGCAAAGTTGTCAAGCAGACAGAGCAGATGTAGAGAAGTGAGAGAGCAGCGGAGTGGGAGGGCGGGGAGATGGGGGTCACTGGACAAAGATAGAGAGAAAGACGGGATCTCCCACTCTGATTCTGGAGAGGGGGGGGGTCATCTGCAGGGAGAACGAGACGAGAGTCAGGGGCAGATGGGAAAATACGGAGAGAGGGGGAGGCTACAAATCTATCACCAAAAATAGCCATCAGCTTTCTGTGGCAAGACGCAGATGGACAAGTGGCAGTGGGGCTTTTATCTGTTCATCTGTGATACAGTTAGAGGAGCAAAAATTTATTTGACATGAAGTGTCAAATACAGTGAAGTGAAACTAACAGGTGGTGACAAGTCAGAACATAAGTACTGAGTTTAGAGCAGGGGTCTGCAACATTCATAATCTAAAGAGCCATTTTGTTCTCTAAACCATCTAGTGCAGCAAATGTCACATGGTTTTGAAAAACTTATTTAGATAAATATCTACAATAGGAAACTTGTCATTTTTGAAGCTTCGTTTTCTTTTTCAGGCTTTCTGCAAGTTTTACCAACTCCAATAAGACTTTTTAAGAACATTTGAATGGAATTTAAGACCCGTATTACAACAGAAATGTACAAAATGTAATGGACATAAAAAGCTAGCCAGCAATTAGCAGCTAGTTAGCGCTGAGTTGAGTCACAGAAAGCAGAAAAGTTGTTGGTGTATGACTCAGAGTTTTGTGCAACAATAAGATCCGAAAGAAAAACAAAACTAGATGGAATGAGATTCAATAGTCCTGCCACAACACAATTTAAGACCTGTGATTAAGATATTTAAGGCCAACTTATTGTTTTTCAATTAATTTAAGACATTTGAAGGCCTTACTTTTAAATATGTGAATTTAAGACTTCAAGAATTTTTTCTATTTTCATCGTTGAAAATAAAGATAAACATAAAATTTAGCAAAAAGAGGATGGATAACCTTTTCCTGTGGGACAAAAATGATGTATAAAAAAAAAAAAAAAACAGATTCCAACCCAATGACAAAAAATAAAAAAGATATAAATGCATATTACTAATACGTTTAGTGTTAGTCTTTGTGGAATATTGTAGGAATAAACTGAAAAACTGTTAAAACCCAAAGTTTGTTATATCAAAATTTAGAAACAATAGCTGGTTCTTTTTAATTTTTAGCCAAAGTTATCAAGAGACATTTTGGAAGGTCCACTTGTGTCCCCAGAGCCATAGGTTGTAGACCCCTGGTCTGGACCGAATCCATTTAAGGTCAACAGATGTCACCAACCTCCTGGTTACTCAGATTTTCATAACAAAGCCACAAAAAACTGCTTTTGCTTTGGATTTGACAAACAGTAGAAAAAAACAATCAAATTCAAACTTTTGAAGCTGATCTCACCTTTCCTCGCATAATAGCTTTGAAAGCTATGCGGAATATGAGGTAAGCCCAGAAGACGTGCATCACTTGGAGGAGAAGCAGCAAGACATTGAAGACCCACCAGGACGGGTAGGGTCCAATGATGGCCCAACTCTCAAACATAGTAGAGTTCAGGACCCTGGAAACTCAGAAAGACAATCCATTATACAGAAAAAGAACACCTAGCAAAGACAGACCCGTCTCCCCCCCGGAAAGGTTTGGATTTCAGTCCAGGTAGCTTCACCACTCATTCATTCACACCAAGACACTGAATATAGCTGCTCAGGTTACTTCTGCCAATGACAGGTTCCCTGTTGTTGGACTCTGTGGAGGCAGAGCTGCAACTTGTAGTGCTCTGTCGAGGAAACGCAATCATCTAAAAAGCCTTTGTAGCTAACGGTCAACCCGAATCTAAGCGTGTTTTTACACCTGATAGTTCAGTAGACTTATTTCAAAAGGGGACCAAAGTTGCAGTATTTGTTAAAGTTTCAGCTGGTGCGATTCACCCCCCTCGCCTGTGGGGGCGCTGCACCAAGAACTGCTGAAGAAAACATGAGCTCAACATCCTTCAAAATATCCTAATGAGTGTCGTCATACGTTAGAGGGCAGGATTTCTCGATTTCTCATTCACAACACCTCAAACAAATCGACTTTCTAGGCCAATGGACTGGAGTTCGGTTAAAGTGGACTAAAGGCTGAGGCTGGTGTGAACGCAGCCTCAGAGCTCTGACCAAGAAATTCAATGATATGTTGCTTAAATTTTATCGTTCCCTGAAATCCAAAGGCTCAAACCAAACAAAAAATCTCCAAAATGGTTTCCCAAAAAGTGTTTCATGTTCTTGTGAAACTCCAAACCATTGTTCACGAATGTGTCACTAAAACCAAACCAAATATTAAGTTTGAGTGGCTGAAAATACTCACCATACTGGAAATATAACAAGCCGTGTGATAAAGAACACCACACTGAACACAATGAAGAGGGAGTCACACAACCGCTGGTATTTGCTGTAGTTTGCCATCTTGGCTGCCTGTTGGAGAACAAAGACGACAGAAATCAAACATTATGATAAGATGGTAAGGAATGTTACAAGAGGTTACAAAAATATACATACAAAAATACAAGAGGTTTTAAAAATATGCAGTCAGGGTGAATTCCAGTTGAGACATAAACAACTCAGAACTCATAGTTATTGGAAGCTGAAAAGTACCTGACACCACATACATAAATATCTAAAACAAACAAACTCCACTTTGGTCCATCTACCAAAACGATATTATTGTGCAACTTGTGGTTTCTTCAAATGCAACTTTGTAAATGTGCAGTAATTTGTTGCTTCTATTCCTTTTTTTCTGGCAGATTTTTATGTAAACATGCAGGAAATGTTTCAGGACTCCAGAGGGTTGAAGTGACTCATTTTTCCCAAGACACTCACACGTGTCATATTCTTGATCACATTATCATACAAAAGAAACCACTTATAGTGAGCTACAAAGGTAAATGAAAAAAAAAAAAATAAATAAAAGTAATATTTTTACTATATGTAGTTACTAGAACTACACATATGATGCTTATTTCTGATTAGATGTAAGCAGAGACCATTATTTATCATCTCAGGAGTGTTTCCAGATCGTTTATGATCATTACTGACCTCCAGCAGGAAGTCGGAGGCATCGTGGACACACAGCACCAGGCTCCCCACGCGAGCCATGTTGTTGGCGTAAGAAAAGCTAATGAGGCTCACTGTTGCTAGGTGATGGATGAACATGATGAGGAAGTCCTGAGAATAAAACAGGGAGGAGACAGTGATCATTGTTCAGGGTCACAGAACACACACACATTTCTATATACGCTGACTGCAGCTAGATGTGAGAGAAACCCAAAAGAACTGATGCAGAATTACTGAATCACAAGACAAACCAAAACTAGGTTCTGACTAACTGACCTCAAACCATAGAGGACAGAGAGGATGTGCTGATGTGTTATGGTTGGGGAATTTTTTTAATGCTCCACATACATGACAGAGTGTTGCTCTTTGAACTGATGGTGGATGGCTTCAAACACAAATTTAAATTCAGATTGAAATATTAATGGTGTTATCAGCTATTACAATTTGATGTAAAGGCACCCTTACAGAGACCAAGAAACAGATATTTACAAAAATATGCAACAAAAAAAGAAAATCAGTTAATACTAAAATTAAAGAAATACATAATTGGATAATATATTGAATAAAAATTATTCTTATGTTTGGTAAAGTGGTTAA